TTAGGGCAGCAGGAGTTTTGAGTAAGGACAATAGGTTAGGCCCGGCAATATGCACGTCCCATCCTCCAATCCTTGTATCAGTTCTGTTGTCCTTTTCCAATCCTCTAGTTATTCTATATCCTGCCTGAGCTGGAGGAACCAGAACTGCCCAGCGATTCCAGATGCCGTTGGATTAGAGTTATGTGTTCAGCACTATTTCCTCGATAGTTTTACTTGCAAGTTCATCTGAGAGCAGCAAGTTTTAGACTTGCTGGCACTGCACATTGCCAACTCATAGTTCGTTTGCTATCTGCCACCATCTCTAAGTTGTCCTTGGACCTTCCGATTCCAAGAGATTTGTTTGCTTTTTTTTGGACCTGTGCTACGTTTCCTCCTTTGACCCAAATCCTCCAAAATGAGTCACACGAGGTAAAAATAAATGTGTGTATCTTCTTCATTGTCCTTAAACTGCTGTGCTGCGTGCTGATAAACTGCAAACTGCTGCTTTGTCCAACAGTAGATGTGGATGTATTTGAAGGGATTCCTGTTTAGTACAGCATTGTAGCTGAAGGAGTAGATGCTACAGTTAAGGCTGGGAAGGGCATTCATTCTAAATCTCTTGGACATACCTTTCTTAGAAATATGAAAGTAGTTTGTGAAATATGTGAAGTGTGAAACCCCAGCAACACACACAAGTAAGTGCAGTGCCAGTGTGGACACACCAGCTCAAGTGATATTTCGCTGTGTGTCTGCCCTCACTCAAGGTACAGTTACTGAGGCCTGGTCTACACTGGTGGGGGGGATCGATCTAAGTTACGCAAATTCAGCTACGTGAATAACGTACCTGAAGTCAACGTACTTAGATCGACTTACCGTGGTGTCCTCAACGCGGTGAGTCAACTGCTGCCGCTCCCGTCGACTCTGCTTGCAGCTCTCGCAGCGCTGGAGTACAGGAGTTGACGGGAGAGGGCACGGGGGTCGATTTATTGTGTCTAGACTAGATGCAATAAATCGATCCCCACTGGATTGATCGCTGCCCGCCAATCCGGCGGGTAGTTTAGACATACCCTAAGTATAGATCACCGCAGAGTTAACTGGAGTTAAGACATATCCATAGAGGTTAAACAGCAACACCTTGGTGTGTTAGCTCCGCTCAGTAAGATAAAACCACACACCATTGGTTTATTTTGGGAAGGTTCTCTGGCCTGTTATACAGGAGATCAGACTAGATAATCACAATGGTCCCTTCTGGTCCTGAAATCTATGAATCCTTCCCCTGTGCTTTAACAGGCACTCCTTACCTGGGGCACAAGGAGGGTACAACTCATTGGGTGAAATCCTGGCCCCACTGAAGTCACTGGGAGTTTTGCCATTGACCCAAATGGAGCCCAAGATTTCACCCATTGTATCTTGCGATTGGCAAAGAGACAGAGAGCATGGTGATTTATCTTCTAAACTCCTGTCTTTGGCCATGCGCCTCACCATACAAGAAAAAACTCTTATGTAGACTGATAGGCTGCTTAAAAGCTCATCCCATGGCGAAAGTGCATTGAACATTTAAAAAGCAACAGAGAGTCTTGTGGCACCTTTAAGACTAACAGATGTATTGGAGCATAAGCTTTCGAGGGTGAATGCCCACTTCGTCGGATGCACAAAACAAAAAAGGCAAAAACCTTACCTCACTGCAAGCAGAGCTCAACCCCCAAATAGGGAGACAAGCCAGAGTCTCCATGAAGTCCACTAGGGACTTCGCTATTGCTATTGATTTTACAGGGAAGATGCTCAGACACTACGATGAAGGGTGGCGGGATAAAACCTCACAACAGACAGACGGAACATGAGCAGACAGATCAGACAAGACTATGCAATTTTGACAGGGGGCCTCAGTAACTGGGGTAAGACGCATTTCGGAGCAAGTGTCCAGGGCATGCTCTGAGCCTGTCTCTTCCCTTAATCAGACTCAACTTAAAACTGTTCCTCTGCTAACTTGTCAATTTCAAGGCTGCACCCTACAGCAGTTGCTTAAAATGGACATGATTCAAATACCCTTTGCATTTATGAGTTTGATCTCTTGATATACGCAGGTCGGAACCACTGTTTTAACCATTCTCTACGTGCTACGACCCAACCAGATTGAATTACGTCTCACTTGTAGAGCACAAGCATACAACCCCCAAAGTGTTCTATTTTGTCTATTTTGTGTTAGTTAGTTATTTAGATTTATAATACCACCACCACCACCACCCCCAAAAGGCACCTAACATGCAGGAAGCCTGACAAGGTTTTTAAGAGGCAATACCTAAAGCAATCTCCACCAAGAACGGCAGTATCTAATTAAACGTCAGAGCAAAAGGAAAATATTCACTACCTTTCCTAAAAACTGCCTCAAGGAACATTCCTCTAAAAAGCCCCCATGCAAAGCTGATTCTTGCAGCATACCCTGAGGGCTAAATGGGAACACAGCAGCCCCTCCAGGTCCCATACTTGCACACTGGATTCCGTTCCTACATGTGTTGAAGTTGTTTCTAAGACCACCATCTACACTACAAACTTCTGCCAGCACAGCTGTCACTCAGAGAGGTGTGACGAGGCATGATCCCCGGCCGGCAGAAGGCCCTAGCTGTTATGATGGCAAAACTGTGCTTTTGCAGGTATAGCTTATTTTGCGTGGAGAGGGGAGAGGAATGGGGGTGGGCTCACTGTTGCTGGTATAAGCTATGTCCACTCTAGGAGTGCGTTTTGCCAATACAGTATACGGGAATATTTATATCACCAAAATGCTCCTACTGTAGACAAGGCCTTACAAACACCATCCAATACAAATCTCTTCCTCTTGTTCCCACGCAGAGCTTGATCTCTGTTCTGAAACGTGTACATAACTACTCAGTTCTAAGATATATTAACTTCTTCCTTTATGTGGCTGAATGGAGCTTGGGGTCTCCCTGTGAGAGGGCCTCAAAGAACTTGCTTAAAAAAAATGCCCCTCATAGTTCTCTGGGTGTCAGCATTTCTACAGTAGGAATAAAATGATGAAGACCCCAACTCTGCATAAACCAGGCCAGGTCACATTCTTACTGAAATCAGACTGATTTTGATTAAAAAAATCCCCTTGCGAACCTACCTCCGCCTGCCTTTTCTGTTCAGAATTGGTACTGTAGAGCATCGTTCATCGTGAAAGATGGAAGCAAAGAAAACTAGAGAGGAAGAGGGAAACCAACTAAATGGCGGGTTTGGGAAAAAACAGAGAGGGGAAGTGACTGAGGGGTTCCAGTGTAGGAGGGAAAGAGACTTAAAAACTGATGAGGTTGCAAGTGGGTAATGATCTCACGTCAGCAAACATCCAAAACGGGAAGCGTCTCTGGCATGGGGAGAATGGGTGGGGACCAGGAGGAAGCTAGGATTGGAGAGCACAGCCCCAGCACACAGGGAGAAGGTGGATAGTGGGTCAGAGATTAGTGAATGGGTTTAAGGAGAGTTTTGAGAATCAGGAGGGAAGTTTCCTGCATCTGATTCTGCAACAATTCACAACAGTGTCTAGCAAAAAGATGGACAGAAATCCTACCCCGCAACTTAAAGCATCCTAAAAAGTGTAGTGTTGAGATAGCACGGCGTCAAAGTAATTTGAACTGAAACTGACAACTCTGTATCAATGCAGCGGCCCCTGAGAGACGAAGAAACTGCTCTTGGTTTCCAGAGGATCTTCAGGGTCAAACACAGCAGACACACTCAATTCACTAAGATTTACGCAACCAGCTTTAGTAAAGTAAACCCCTAGCGCTATAGCTCCTCTGTGCTTCCAGCACCAGTATCTCTTGGCTGTTTTGTATATTTTCCTCCATCAACCTCCCCCTGGTATAATAGGGGATCATGATACTGGCTGGCGCTGGGAGCTCTGCTGGTGCAGGCAGCACTAGTGCAGTTCTGGAGTACAGCACTGATGCATTCTTCTAGCCTCACACATCTTTTCTCTATTTCAGAGCCTCAGGTTAACCTGTAATAAAATGGGGATAACAATATTTACCAGTTTTGTAAAATGCTTTGAGATCCTAGAATGAAAAGTGTGATGTATCCAGATTATTATTTGTGCCCGAGGATGTATTTGCATCTGGCAGGGGTAGGATACTGCACCAGTGGGAGTAATGGCGTAGGATGAAATTCTCAAAAACATCTAAGTGACTTAGGAGCCTACGGGTATGTCTACACTACCTGCCAGATTGGCGGGTAGTGATCGATCTAACGGGGATCGATTATCGCGTCTCGTCTAGACGCGATACATCGATCCCCGAACATGCTCCCCGGTGACTCCGGAACTCCACCAGGGCGAGAGGCGGAAGCGGAGTCGACAGGGGAGTGGCGGCCGTCGATCCCGCGCCGCGAGGTCGCGAAGTAAGTCGATCTAAGTCAATCTAAAATACGTCAACTTCAGCTAGACTATTCTTGTAGCTGAAGTTGCGTATCTTAGATCGATCCCCTTCCCCCCCAGCCTCCCCCAGTGTAGACCAGGCCTAAGTATCCCTCTCAAAAGGGCCTAAGTGATTTAGAACATATGCCCACTTTTGAAAAGGGGACTTGGGTGCTTTTGAAAATGTTATCCTTACCCGGCATGGCAGCCTATAAATTCCTATAAATATACTACACGAGTCATTCAAACTGTTCTAATTGTATCCACTAGCCAGCCACTGAAACCACAGAGAAACCATGCTAAACAGAGGGTGTCCTTGTCCACCCTCTCGATAAGCTTTTTTGAGAGAGAGAGAGAGAGAGAGAGAGAGAGAGAGAGCGCGAGCGAGCGTGCGCTCTATA